TCCTCCCCCCCCCCCCGCCCCTTTCCCCACCCCACCCTTTTTCTTTAACACCGAACATATTTTATGCAGACATATATATGAGCAGAGGATTTTCAGAGCGCAAAGCTTTATAATCCATTATTGCAGCTCATTTTGTCGCCGATAGATTATCCAAGATGCATTTTCTTGTCGGGATCAGAGTGTGAACATCCATGGTCAGCTCCAGATCCAGAACCAGTAGTCATAATGCTATGAGCAAAGTAATTGCGAGAGGCAAAGGCCTCAAACGCAGTCATCTCCGTACCACTAACCATTTGATGATGGTGTTGTTGAAATCTCTCCACTTCTGCTATCTGTCATTAAAACATATTAATTAGCTATATTAATGAATTTTACAAGATAGATAGATGATTAATGGATGTTGCTCAAAAGAAAGAAAAAAAAAGATGATTAATGGATGTGAACATGGAATTAACGAACACGCTAATTCTTCTTTTTTTCTTACCTTGGTTCGGAGATAGATACTCTCATTATCGAGCTCAACCTCCTGCAGAATACACCATATTCAAAGAATTTTCACAAGAAAATATTGGGAAAAATTAAGCTATGTGATACTTACCCTTTTATGCAGGTTCTCGATTTCAGCTAGAAGCAACTCATGCTATTTCTTGTACGAACACAAAGCAAACTTAGAATATGTATATATATATATAAAGTGGTTATAAATAAGAGTCCATTAAGATGTTTTAGCTACGTACCTTCTTGGACCTGATCCTGGAGATGGCTTTCTCAAGGCGATTCTCAACCTGTTTTAGTTCCTTGACATTTAAGGCACTCAAAGAGTCTCCCATCAGATTCCTACAACATTATATATTAATAACGTGTTACAATCAATACATATAATAAATAACTTATAAATATGCCTGAAAAAGCTGCTAACCTGTTGGAATTTTGAATCGTCTGGATCTGTTGTCTCAGCTTAGCAGATTCTTGTTGATAGTACTGTATTTTAAGAACCATCAAAGTAAGAACATATACGTATCTACATAATGATGTTAAATAAGTGTAGGAGATGGGGAGAAAGTAAAACCGCGGCATTGATTTCTTGTACAGAGTGAGTGTTGGCGTTATCAGACGAAGCTTTCTTGTATCTCTCAATGGTTGATCTTATGCTATCACAGAAAATCCAATTCATTATTCCTAAACAGACTCATCAATATAAGAATATTATGCATATCGTGTTTCAAATAACTAAACAATATACAGTAAAACCTCTATAAATTAATAATGTTGGGACTTTTAAAATTTATTAATTTATGGAGATATTAATTTATAAAAATTTCCTTATTTAGATTTTTTTTTATTTTAAGATAGGAAAATATTTTATTTTAATGTATAGACATTAATCATTATTTTTTAAAATTTCACATTTATATTATTTTTTTATATTATATGATATGTAATATATATTTTCATAAAATTTAAATGTGATTTTAGATATATATTACTAAATCTCGTTAAAAATATATTATGTGTTAAGAAAATGTAAAGACAATTCCATTATAAATTTAAAACAAACAATATAATGCTAGGTTCTTACTTATATAAAATATGTATATATAGAAATTATTAATTTATAATTTTAATGGGACCATATATTTACATAGAATTTTCTAAAAAATGATTATCTTATTATTTTATCGATTTGTGTCAAATTTTGAACCGACCCAAGTTGGGACCGGTAAAATTTATTAATTAATAGAGATTATTAATTTATCGAGTATTAATTTATAGAGACTCTACTATATAGAGACAAGAAAATCAACATTGTTAACTATAAACTCAGAACAATAATATATGTTTCGTTGTATTTAGATATTCAAGTTAAATTAAAAATATAAACGAAGGATATAAAAGTGAAGCTGAGACTTTAATGTAAAAGTAAAAAGTAAATGGTTTTGGATATACATATAGTTATTGTGACTTCAATATTAAATGGAAATCGAATCTCTAAAGATTAAAAGCTAAAACAGGAAGGACAAGACATGAAGAAATAGATCTGATCTGCTTAAGATGAAAGAGGAAAACGAGTACAAACTACAAAGCATCTCTCGCTGCACAATTAAGTTCCAAGAAAGAGTTTAACAAAGAAGAAAATATTAAAATGATTTGTTCACCAAAACTGCAACTTCAGGCTAGCTAGCATAAGTTTGGTACTTAAACACATTGGACTATCTCTGTCTCTTTTGAGATTTTCTCACGCTTTATATGTATATATGAAAGATAGTATGTACAAACATAAAGTACTTGATTACATATAGCTATGGGTATTTTATTCATGAGACCCTTGAAGTTAAACTATCGTATATGTACTGTTTATTTCGTATTGGTTCATAATTAAAAATGTCACTCAAACCGTATTGTACACCTAGAAAGTCCAATGTCTGCATTTCAGTTTCTTCTATACTTTATCATTACATTAAACTATTTCAAAATGTTTGACATACATATATACAAATAGTACAAAAAATACATCATTGATGCTAAGCAAAAGTTCTAGCTAAGATTAGTCAAATTCGTTTCCTGTGGCTACACTGATGCAATCATTCCAGATGCAAATTCTGATTTATTGATAACATTATGCAAAATATGCACCCCAAAAAAAAAATCTAATGGACCCTTATGCAATTATGCTTGTAATGAACTATTCACATTTTTATGCACAAAAGAGATGGCTTACTTGTTATTCGCATACTCATAGAGACGGCCTCGAGTTGAGAAGACTATAAGGGCAACCTCTGCATCGCAGAGGACAGCAAGCTCATAAGCTTTCTTCAAAAGTCCATTTCTTCTTTTGCAGAATGTTACTTGTCGATTTGTGGAGTTCTCTATCCTCTTGATCTCTATTTTTCCTCTTCCCATCCTTCATTTTAAACACCAACCATTGATTATAACTATATGAATATGTGAAGAAATCACGAATTGACCAATTCGAGCTTTATTTATAACATATAATTATTTAAGAAAATGCACAATTGATTAATATACTGCAAAATGTATAATAATATATACAAGAATACATTGTAGTGTAGCTAAAAAATAACTTAAAGTTAGGGTTTGAATATTAATGTATTTTAATACTTACCAAACTCAATTTTATGGGGTTTGTAAAAAGAGTTTTTTTTTATTACTATCCAACTTTCTTGGGATAATATATTAAGGTTGTTCTTGATTGATTTCAAGGACAAACAAGAATCAATTGGAATTGATAATACCTGTACTAGAGTCTTCGAAATTTGTTCAGATCTTTTCACTAATACCATTATCATGAGATGGACATATATACATATATGTTCACAGTAAAAATCACATAAATTTGTATGATCGATTAATTTTCCATCAGGAGTTCCACACACAACGAAGCTTCTCATCGCGAATTAAATAAAAATAAAAGAATTTCGTCACGAATTAGTTAAAAAAGATATACGGAGGTAAAGTCAGACGACTTTAGTTACATGAATTTTTGGAGCCCAGATAAAATTTATTTTGACCCATCCCTTGTACTATCTATATCTATCGATCTCACTCTCTCTCTCTCTCTCTCTCTCCAATAAACATCTGAAAGGCTTCACGGGTCCAAAGGCAAACACACATACGTAATTTGATTTTAGATCCGGAATATTTACATATTTACAAAAGTGTTTTACAAAATCATTGATCTATAATCTGTTGTATGAAGACAATAATTATTTAGTTTGTTTTAAAACAACCTATAATATAAGAGTTGAAATATGGAAAGAAAAGAAATCAAACTGATATTGAAGAAGAATTGAGAAGGCGCTGATGCACATGAAACTGAAGTTAGTACAAAGGTAAACATTATTGACAATAAGAAACATTATAGGAGAGAGATAGATAGAGAGAGATAGAGAGTTTCAATAAGAAGATGAAGAAAAAATCAGCAGATTTGAATGATTTTCAGGCCAAAACACTGAACTTTAGCCGACAAGAAAGGAAACAGAATCTTGCAGAGATCTGCATGCGAGAAACTTAAAATAAACATAATCTTTTTCTAATGATGGAAATAACTCTTATGATGATCCCTCTTTTTCTTATCATATTCTTCTTGGGACAATACCAAACAAAAGAAGAGAAAACAATAATTTTTTTTTCTTTTCATAATTTTTATAAATAAGTTTGTGAAAAGACATGCAAAGGCAAGAGAAAGACCCCTGATGAAAGAGTTATTATAAACTTGGAATCTGCAATATATAGAGATATACATGTGCATCAATGTAGATTTATTTATTTTTTTGACTGAAGGCATAAATGTAGATTTATTTCAATGAAGAGATGTGAACAAAGATGGGAACTTGATGAGATCAAGAAGTGTTTTCTTTTATGAAAAGAAGAAGTAAAGACACAACAGACAGACCTGAGAATTGCTTCGCCCAACTCAATTCAGCTTTCGGAAACTCTTAATCTTCTCTCTCTACTTTATAAGAAAAAGAATACAAGAAAATAAAAAGAGAAGAAAGTTTTTGAGTTGTATAGAATCCAAAAATAAAACCCAAATTCCTTTTATTTCCAAAACCCTAAGCTGCCACACTCAATATGTCTAATTTGTAGACGTTTCTTTTCTTTGCTCACCTTCCATTCCAACGTCCAGAGAGAGAAAGAACGTGACTGCGGTTGCGTTTGCAGTTTCCAATGTAACTTCTATTAAAAATACTGTTATGTAAAAGGAATGTCAAGTTTTGGCCAGGTAATTGTCACTTTGAAAATGGTTAGAAAATAAAAGTTTTGTTTGAAAGTTAATGAACAAAATAAGAAGTTATTTATCCTGACGTGTTAGAGTATGATTATTGGGAGATTTTAGAGGTGAAATTTTAAACGGAATTAAGAAACCGTCTCTTAATTTTTAATTAAAAAAAGTAAGAAACCGGTTCTTACATAAAAGTACTAAAAACCAATTCTTAGTTTTTTTAATTAAAAATTAAGAGACAGTTTTTTAATCTCGTTAAAAGCTCCATCCGTTAAAAACCCCAATAATCATACTCTTAGGGAATCACATGTTTAAAAGTACTAATACAAAGTTTACAGTCTTTCAATTACTCTATGCAGTAACTTGCGAAGAGATAGTGTATTTCTTTAACTATATATAGATTAGTCATTTTAGGGCTTTCAATAGTTTATACTCACTCGCCAAAAAATATCATTTTGATTTTTTTACACAAATCAAAAACATAATTGTAATACATTAAATTTTTATTAATATATTTATCTAAGCAATAATATTTGCGCTAAATAAAATTATTTGTAAAATCAATGTGTTCTTAGTTAATATTAAGGTGATAGTTACATTTGCAACAAGAACAAAAAAAATTAAAATGACACTCTTTTAGAAACAAAAAAAATTAGTATTACAATTAAAGTCTATCAATATTTTTCGCAAAAAAATGTCATTTTGATATTTTTACACTGATTAAAAGAATAATTGACATGTATTAATTTTTTTATTAATTACATATATTCAAATAATAATATTTGAGATAAATAAAATTATTTATTAAATTAATGCGTTTTTAATTAATCTTGAGCTGAAAATTACATTAGAATTTTTAAAAAGTCATTTTAAGTAACAAAAGAAATTAAAATGACATTCTTTCAGAAATAGAAAGAATATTATGATATTTATTGTGAAGTTCAGAACAGTAAAAATAGCTACTTTCCTTTGAAATTACATGTGGCAGCAAACTGTCTAAACATATAAATGGAATTGAGATTATTTTTAAATCACCACAACCTTTTATTATAATTAATTTTTTTTTGTATTGGCATTTTCTATTTCGATTATTACTATTCCCAATGGGAAGACAGACAACTTATATGAAGAAACGAAAACCAGAATTTGTTTCCCACTTGCATCTATATATTTTCATCCATATATATACAGCGTATTCTTTAGATTTATTTATTTTTATTTACCGAAACATATCTAATATTACCCATAAAAATTTGATTACCATGGGAAACGATGACTGTATCATATATGCATTGAAAGTTATATTCAAAATATGTACATCATATGTTATTTACATTTCTTTATTACTAACCTTTTTTGAAAAAAGGCTTTTATTACTAACCTTCTTTCTACATTACATACCTTTTTCGTATACGTATCAAAAGAAAAACCCTTCTTCATACATCATACAGATACATAGTTTCCACGTAAATGTACGCATGTATCACTCATTCAAAAAAAGTTACAACATACCCAGCAAAATTAAAAGTTGAGATATTTGTAGAGATAGACCATACATTATCATGTAACATTTGATCATATACATAACTAATTAGGTGGCAACGCATACTATCAAGATTTAAAGATTCTTCTGGTGGAAAATTAAAGAGAAAGGTGAAACTGCAGAGCTTAATTTAGGGTTTGAAAGTGACACGCAAATTGGATTATTGCTGGGGAGAGAGAGAGAGAGTAGACGTTGACATTGTTGAAGCATCCCCTGAATTATTTGCCCTAGTTTCCATTTCTCTCTCACCTTAAGTAAATTTACCTTTAATGTTTTGGAATACGGTGTTTAGGAAATAATTTTGGCTCTTTCAAGACAGCCTATAAATTACTTAAAAGAGTGTTACAAAAATTCTGCAACCTTTAACTTTTAGCAGTTTTCCACAATCCAACAGTTCATACATATATGACCTAATATGAAGTTTAACACAAGGAAAAAATGCCGAATACATACAGTCTCTGCAATTAGTGGCTGAGCCAGGATTAAATCTTACCGGGTCAATATACATACAAAAAAATACCAATACAAACAATAAGCATATAAGACGAAATAAGCGTAATAATATTTTGTGCATAGCTTTTAAATCTACATTTTCTGATAATATTATGTATGTTTTTCACAAAAAGTAACTTGAAGTTTAATAAAAAATGTATTAGCTGAAAAGCAAAGAAAAAAAACAGAACATTATATAGTTCTTTTCCTTGTCATTCATTTTCATAAGCATTAATATTTATCTTTGCAACTCTAGTTCTAATGTATAGGTTGAAAACATAAATGTTGCTTGTATATATGTCCAGATGATTTTCATATCTCTCTTGCATATAGTAAAACTTCTATGGAAACTTTAATCCAAGTTAAGAGAAACATATTGATAAAATGTACTATTACACCTCAATTATAATCATTTTCATGCAGAGAATATTTATAATATTTTAAAGACAAAAAGTTATTATCAGTAAATGTGTGCACTTATGCAAAGACTTAAGGTCTCGATTGGTACAGTAGATGATAAAACATTAGTAGTAGGCTATAGAAATAATATGCTGCAGAAGTTGTATGTTTTCAATAATTTTTTTTAATAATGTGATTGATTAAACAGTGGTAGTATCAGCTAAACCTGAATTCTGAGAAGACTGTAGAGGAGCTTAAGGAAAAGGTGGATCGCCTATCATCAACTGATGATGCAACTACTGAGGAGATTGGAGCGGCCATTAAGGAATTATCTGATGCCCTTAAGGCAGAGGAGCTGTTCTGGAAGCAGAAGTGTAGGGTATTTTGGTTGAGAGAAGGGGATAGGAATACCAAATTTTTCCACGCCCTTACGAAGCAGCGTAGAGCAAGGAACATGATCACTCAATTATTGGATGAAGATGGAAATGTTGTGGAGGATGAGGAAGGATTGGTAGCCATTGCTACAAATTACTTTAGACATATTTTCCAATCAACAAATCTAGATACAATAGAAGAGGCACTCTCAGAAGTATCGACGACAATTTCTGTAGCGGATAATGTGGCATTGACAGCTCCGGTTACTGAATGGGAGGTTAAATTGGCACTGTTTGCGATGCACCCAGAGAAAGCTCCAGGTCCAGATGGAATGACGGCGCTATTTTA